TACGGACTGTTGATTTGAAAGTATTGCTTAGACGCTGTCTCTTATACACATCTACTGCGGGACACGAACAATGTTAACAACAGCTCGTGGCCGTGGATTCCTTTCATCTACGGCTGAGATCAGGTAGTATTGGGGGTGTAATTCCCATTCAGTTGAACTTAGCCTTAAATTCTAGGATTGAATCCAGCCGCAATGCCCGTGAGGTGCAGCCTAGTACAGAAGATCGGCTTGAGGACTGCTTCGTTATCTTTTCTGGTACACGTTCTAACGTACACGCTCAGATGGACAGGCACAGGAAGATCTTCCTGCTGTGCCCGTCAATAGAAACGCAAAAACAAGTGAAAAAAGTGAAGAAGTGAAAAAGAAACAAAACAAGGTGAAGAAGTGGAAAAGAAACAAAAGAAGGGCCTCGCTCCACTACTCTCGACATGCACAAAAGACGAAAATCATGCCGGCGCATCTTTCCACGTTCCAGCAGAAGATTCACTCTCGTTTTGCACATTTCGAGAGTAGCGGAGCGAGGGCCGCCGGCAGCTTTTTACTTTTGTTGCGGTAATTTGCGCTAACGACACACAGCAAATATGTTTTTTTTCTTAGGGCGTCGCCACACGACTCTCAAATGTGAAAGAGACAAAATTGTGGCGGGTGCATCTGGCCATGGTGTAGCGGAAAGTTCATTCTCATTTTGCACATTTCGAGAGCGGTGTGACGGGGATCACGGAAAGCGAGAATGCAAGCAGTCTGTGCTCCAGTCTGACCGTGCCGTACGATTCTAGCGCACTGGAACGAACCCCGGGGATGTCGAGAATATGAAAATGACAAAAGTAACTAAACCCCAAAGATCGACCTTTCCCCCCGCTCAGAGGCCCCAAATCCCCCTTATACTACCCGAATTCTCAGTTTCTGACCGTAGATTACGATGATCGACGGCCCAAGAAATTAAGAAGCACAGTAAGAGGGAACTTGGCCCCTAGATAAACCACCACGATTAATCACCCGCCAGCGCAGTGATCGCCTTTTTCCCAGAGAGAATATCATCGTAGCTCCAAATCGTAGCAATCTCAATTCAGAAAAAAAAAATAAAAAAATCGTAGCAATCGAGCTCTTTTTCCTGGTCCAGAACCTTGGTCCAAATCCAGATCCATGGTCCAGCAGCGGCAGGCGATCGGCGAGCGGAGCCGAGGGCAATCCTTCACCTAAAAAAACAGAAACCAAAAAAGAAAAAGAAAAAAAAGGGCGTTCTCCTCGCCGAGCTGATCGTACGTAGACCGCTCGAAGATCGAACGGCAGAGATTACTTCCTCGCTTCCCTTTGTGTTTTGTCGTTTCCGCCTGCCTTGAGCGCGCGCTGATGCGGCTCCGCCAGAAAACGACAACAAAGGAAATATCCCTCGCCCTGCCTGCCCCTGACAAGGCTGGCGGACCGCTGCTACCATTAGGTTGTTCAGGCGCCTGACGCCTGTTCCTTTCTTCTTTCTTGTTTTTTTTTTTTTGTTTGTTCTTTTTGCTTTTTCTTCCGCCTTTTCCGCTTTTGTGTTTTTTGCGCCCCATTCCCAAACAACAAATAGAAAAAACAAATAAATTTTGTGCGCCCTCGTCAGCCTCTCCCCCGCCCGCGTAGTATGAATGACTTCTTTCCTTCACGGAACATTCCCATGAACTTCCCCGCGCTCATTTCTGCGCGCCCAGCAGCGCATCGTCCGCAGCGCTACTAACGGGAGCTCCCCGCGCTTTCCTCCTGGTACGGAGGTCCCACTCCTCGGATGGCCCTCGCTCCGCTACTCTCGACATAGCCACAAAAAAGACAAACAACAGAGCCGTGTATCTTTCCAGGCTCTACAGGAAGATTCATTCTCATGTCGCACGTTTCCAGTCCAGAGTACTGGAGCGAGCCCCTATGTTCCTCGCTCACTACTCACGAAATTGCCCAAAATGAGAATGAATCTGTCGGTACAAGACGGGAAGATACACAAGCATTTTTTTTGTCTTTTGTGCATGGCGAGAGTAGTGAAGCGAGGCCCTACCTATCCTTCATTTCTGACCGTACGTTGCGACGATCGACGGCCTGCGCAGCGCCAAGGCACCGAGCGGCCCCACGACGGCAACCCCGCCCATCCGGCTTTTTTGTTTTTTGTTTTTTGTTTTTTCCAACTATCACAATTCATTCATTGCATCCGCCTTTGTTTGTTTTTACCGTTTTGTTTTCTTCCGTGTCAGAAACGACAAAAAGGCGCACGAAAAAAAAAAAAAAAAAAAAAAAAAGGCTTGCTAGCAGGGAATCGCATCACCTTGCCGCTTGTCGTTGGCGCTCGAAAGTTTGCGAGGCTAGATCCACTACTCTCCCAGTGCGCAAAAGACAAAACATATGACGGTGTATCTTGCCGTGCTATAGCGGAAGATTCATTTGCATTTTGCACATTTGGTGAGTAGCGGAGCGAGGCCCTACGAACGAATTGTCAGTC